AGACGCTGGACCCGCTTTCCAGCAGGTGATGCTCCCCACCTATAGATGGAGCCTCTCCCCAGGTGCTAGTGGTGTCTGCTCTTATCAGCACCACTAACACTGGTGGAGGAGTGTCAAAAAAAAAAAAAAAAAAAAAAAAAGGACTCCAATTACATTTGGGATGGAGTCCTCGCAGACCTATAAACTGTCTAAACCCGGATAGAGCACATAAACTTCCGCCAGGGACCAGAGAGTTCGCAGTGCAATATCAGAAAGATTTAGAAAAGGTAAAAGAGAACATAATAAAAGCGCAACATCAAATGATTGAACAGGCCAATAAGCACAGGAGACCTTCTCAGTTTGCTGTAGATGATCTAGTTTGGGTAAAATCGAAGGAATTTATCCCAGAGGAAAACATATCTCAGAAATTGTAACCTGCCTACAGAGGACCATGGCAAGTATTGGATGTGATAGGGGATGTAGATGGACCCTCCTATGTTATTGAGATACCTCCACATTTGCATACCTACCCGGTGTTCCACGCGTCAAAGCTCTTACCTTGTGTAACTAACGAACTGTTTCTCAGTCGAAGGTCAACAATTCCTCCAAGTATGGATGGGAAATTTGATGTTGATAAGATCGTTGCTGAAAGTACTATCCAGACTGGACGCAGGGGTAGACCTCAGTGACAATATACAGTCAGATTTGCCTATCAAGATCCAAGTGAAGACCGCTGGTTTAGTAGAGAAGAGCTAATTGAAACTGCACCGAACATAGTATCTTACTATGAAAGAGCAAGAAGAGGTGTCAATATTGTGGACAGGTAAGAACTTTCTCAGAGGACTTCGAAATTAGGCCGGCGAGAGTAAAAGGGCCTTTACGAATTAGACCCCAGATGAATGCCCCAGCAGCAAGGGGACCTGTCGGCCAGAACTTAAATTCACGAGCTGCAACCCAAAAGACAAGTTCCTGAGGCAAATGTTGCAGCCATAATGAAATGAAAAGTCGTTTTGAACAGTCACAAACAGGTCCTGCGCGAACAGGTATTGGACACAGTTTTCTAGACTGAGTTAGGGTCATGTCTCCTCGATGGAAAGTCATGTCTGTTCGGCAATGAGTCAAAGGCCACAGTCCCAGTCCAGTCATAATCCCACGAGTCAGTCCTGATTCAGACCAAGAGTCCAAAAGACAGGCCCGATGGCCCAAAGCAGCAGCAGACCATGGGAAAAGATACTGGGACACACACTCTGCAACAACGGGTACTGGGCAGGAGTCCCAGACACTTGAGGCTGAATGCAGTGCACACCAGACCAGTCCAGCACTACAAAGGACTGGCCAGCCTCCCATTTGACAGATGCTCACTTCGCATGAGAGTGTGGAAGTGCCGTGTGCACCAGATGTGTGTGGGCTGCACTAGGCTGAAGAGCAGCGCTATGTGAGAGTGAAGAGAGTGCTGGCTAGAGGGAAGGCAGCCATAGCTAGTTAGTACATTAGTAGGGATAGTTAGT